TAAAGTACCCAATTTGCTTTTTAACTGATGTGGCATTTGATTTTCAGAGTTAGAGACCCATGTTGGATGTACTTAGCTTCCCAATAGCATGCTACAAGTGCCATAATTTAATAACCAAATTATGAGCAGCAGAATGAGCAGTTATACAAGAGGCAGCAGCATTATTATTTGAAGTACAGAAGCATCTAGAGGTTTCAATTGGAATTAGGGTCCCATTATTATTTTATTATTTAAGTTTATACTGTAGTATCACCTAGAACTGCCAACCAGGTTGGACACCATTGTGCTAGGAGCAGTACAAACATACAATAAATGACAGTCCCAGCCCCAAAGAGCGAACAGACAAATAGTAAGAGAGAATTTCTGCCTCCAAAAGTTTTCAATCAAAATGAGGAAAAAGATGGGAGAGGAAAAGACAGTTACCTTTTCCGTAACTGGCGTTCTTCTAGCTGTGTTGCTCATGTCTATTCCACAATAGGTGTGAGTGCTCGCCACGTGCACCGGTGCCAGAAGTTTTTCCCCTAGCAGTACCCATAGGAGAGCGCCCCAAGCGATCTATGGTGCAGTATAAGGGGCGTGCACGCTCCCCCGACCCTCAGTTCCTTCTTGCCAGACAACTCCGACAGAGGGGAAGGAGGGCGGGATGTGGAATGGACCTGAGCAACACATCTCGAAGAACACCACTTATGGAAAAGGTAACTGTCTTTTCTTCTTTGAGTTGCTCATGTGTATTCCACAATAGGTGATTCCCAAGCTATACCTGTTGGAGGTGGGTAGGAGTTCACAAACTCTTGGGACGGAGCACAGCCCTGCCGAACCCAGTGTCTTCCCTGGTCTGGGAGTGACCAGACATCCCGATTTTATCGGGACAGTCCTGATATTTGCTTGTTTGTCCCACATCCCGACCGAACATCGGTCGGGACACTGGACAAACAAGCAATTTTGCCCTCTGCTCTGGCACACAGGCGGAGCCCGGAGGGGCTCTTGCCCCCCCCGCCCCGACTCCACCCCCTCCTTTCCCCATTGGATCCCTCCCCAAATACCCGCCCTGTCCCTGCCTCTTCCCCAAGCACGCAGCATTCCTCCTCCCTCCCAGGTTTGCACACGGGCCATGGCCTGGGCCGGGAGCGCAGCACGAAGACTGCTGCAGCCCCCGGGACAGCGCAGTGGGTCTGGGGGCCGCACCCGGGTGGGCGGAGACATGCGTGGGGCAGACACGCTCCTGCCAGGAGGGGCTGGGCCCGGCTGCCTGGTTCGCCCCACGGCTCGGCTGCACAGCTCGGAGCCCAGGAGCGAGGGGATGGGGGAGCTGGGGGTGTATCGGGGGTCGAAGCCTAGAGTTGGGTGGAGATGGGGCTGTGCCACTGGCGGGGGGGGCGCGCGCGCTCCGGTTCTTTTTTTTTTTTGGCTCCACGCTCCCCCCCCGTGTCCCAATATTTCATCTTTGTCATCTGGTCACCCTACTTGCGCCCTAGTTGAGTGTGCCCTCACAATTGACGGCGGAGGGATTCCCACCAGGTCGTAACAGGTTCGGATGCACGAGGTGTTCCATTTGGAGAGCCACTGAGTGGAGATCGGCCAACCCCTCATGCGTTTGGCCGAAGTGATGAACAGCTGAGAAGACTTCCTGAACCGCTTAGTCTGTTCCAGGTAAAAGGCCAGAGCCCGTCTCACATCCGGCATCTGGAGGCGGCGCTCCTCACTGGACGCGTGGGGCTTGGGGCAGAGGACTGGCAGGAAAATGTCCTGACTCATGTGGTAGGTGGAGATCACCTTCGGGAGGAACGAAGGATGTGGGCAGAGCTGGACCTTATCTTTATGGAATACCATGTACGGGGGCTCAAAGGTCAAAGTTTCGAGACCCATCTAACAGACATGATCGCCACCAGGAAGGCTACCTTCCATGAGAGGTGCGACCAGGAGCATGTAGCTAAAAGCTCGAAGCGGGCACCCGTCAACCAGGCCAGCACCAAGTTCAGGTCCCACTGTGGGACTAGGGGCCTAACGTATGGGAAGAGATGATCCAATCCCTTAAGGAATCGGCCAGTCGTAGCATGAGAGAATATCGTGTGCCCCTGCACCGATGGGTGGAAGGCCAATATGGCCGCCAAGTGCACCTTGATGAACGAGGGTGCCAGGCCTTGGGTTCTAAGGTGAAGGAGTTAGTCTAAACTGAGCTGGAGCGGGGCAGCCATGGGGGAAACGTCCTGCTCAGCCACCCATCGGGAAAACCGAGACTACTTTGCCAAGTAGGCTCGACACGTGGAGGGTCGCCTGCTTTCCAAGAGGATGTGCTGAACCCCTTCTGAGCACGGCCTTTCCTTCTGACCTAACCGTTGAGCAGCCACGCTGTGAGGAGGAGTGCCGCTAGGTTGGGGTGGAGGCGGTGGCCCTGGTCCTGGGAGAGCAGGTCAGGGTGAGATGGCAATGGCCACGGCGGAGCAACTGCCAGGCTCATGAGGGTCCTGTATCAATGTTGCCTGGGCCACACCGGGACAATCAGGAGGCCCCGGGCCCTGTTCATCTTTATCTTTTCCAGGACCTTGCTTATCAGCAAGACGGGGAGGAGGCATAGAGAAACTGGCTGATGCCAGTGAGTGATCTGCATGCGGACTGTTTATGCTGTCTGAGGGAAACCCATCTCAACGATCGCTGCAAGATTTGCAGGTCTTTCAAGCCTTGGACCAAAAGAGAAAGTGACATTTGGCTCTGGGCTTTCCTGATTGAGTCGGTGTTGACCCCGACTCCGGTGCACCGCTCTGAGTCAGCACCAGGTGCCGCAGTGTCGGTATGCGGCGACCCCTCAGTGCCACCTATCAGTCGGCACCACTCCCCGTCCACGGGGCATGCCAAGAAGGCTAAGAAGAGGCCTTCGCCACAGCAGCACCAAAGCAAGACCGGGGGAGAGGCTAGACCCATGTTGGGCAGTCCACGGTCCCCATTGGCCTCCAGGCCTCCAACTCAGGTGTAGCCCAGCCCAGTCGGACCAGGCTTCTCTGGATGTCTGGATGCCCTCCACACCAGAGGCCCTGCAAGCGGCCTGGACATTATGTCCCTGCCGGTACCAGGGGCACCGACAACAGCGGGTCTCCGGTCCAGAGGCAAGCCACCGCTGGGATCTCCACAGTCACCCCCTGCTCGGTACCGTATTGTGGAATACACATGAGCAATCACTCGAAGAAGAAACAGAGGTACAGAGAGGGGAAGTGGCTTGCCCAAGGTCACATCGAAGGTCACTGGTAGAGCTGGGAATGGTATCCACATCTCTTGACTCCCAGTCCAACACCCTATCCATTAGACCACACCCACTCCCAAGCACGACTGACGATTTGTAACATCCACCTACAGAAGTCTTGTTTCTGGGCTCTCAAGGACTACCTGAGTTCTAACCCAGAACTGCCCCGGACCTATGTGGCCTTGGTCAAGTACCGGTAATTTATTCTCCATATCTTAATTTCAAAAGAATTTGACATAGAAGTTGAATGCTCATCTTTTTCAGCTGTCACTCTGTGTTGCCTTTACTGCACAGAGTTGTTTCTATGGTGTCTTAGGACAAGAGGAAAGCATGTATCTGAGTCAGTGCTCTCCCCACTCCATTAGATTTGGGTTTTTATTAATGTAGTCAATTAATACACAACTATCCGAGTTTAGAAAGCAGGAGGCAGACAACTGAAATAACTGAGCTATCTGTCTATTCCAACTGAGCACGTTCACAAGATCTCAAGGGGGGGGATGGGGGGAAATCAAACAAATCCATATTAAAAAACCTTGCCTTTTAATCAAAAAGATCTCATATTTCAAAAGTATAAGCTAAGGTCCAAAGCATCTGGTACAATTAAAACAAGTGCTCTCAAAGAAATCAAATATAATATTTCAATAATGCACTGTTCTTCTTTGAATAAAATATTTATATTTTGCAATCTGAGAAAAGTGGGACTTCCAAAAAGGAAATGGAGAGTTTAATTCTTATCTTCTCTCTTAAAACAAAATTAGCAATATATTTAAATTACATGAAATCACAACCATTTGAAGTCACAATGATGTGAGATAGCGCCATCTAGGGACTAAATATTGTAAAATTCAATTGGGATGCTTGGTTAAGAACATTTCAGTTTCTTCATAACACATCTTAACAGCTTGATTTAAAGTTTTAACCACAACAGGAAATTTAGGAACACCTGTTATGCAACAAGAAAGCTGGAAACTTTCTTGTTGTGTATTTATAGTTTACAGTTCCTTAAAGTGCTGTGGGGTTGCAATATACACCATATAAATGTATACTAAGCACAATACAAAGTGTCTAATGCAGGGGTGGGCAAACTACGGCCTGCGGGCTGGATCCAGCCCCTCAGGGCTTTGGATCTGGCCAGTGGGATTGCCCCACGTGGCGCTGAGGACGCCGTTCTCAGAAGCGGCCGGCACCACTTCCCTGCGGCCCCCGGGCGGGGGGGCAGAGGGCTCCGTGCGTTGCCCTTGCCTCCAGGCACCACCCCCGCAGCTCCCATTGGCCGGGAACGGGGAACCGCAGCCAATGGGAGCTTCAGGGGAGGTACCTGGCGGTGCGGCAAGGGCAGCGCACGCGGAGCCCTTCACCCCCTCTCACCCCCAGGCGGCCACAGCGCTTCCTGGAGCAGCGCAGGGCTGGAGACAGGGCAGGCATGCAGGGAGCCTGCCCTGGCCCTGGTGCGCGCCACTGACACTCCGGAGCCGCTTTAGGTAAGCGGCACCGGGCCGGAGCCTGAACCCCTCCTGCACCCTGCCCCCCAACTCCCTGCCCTAAGCCCCCTGCCTGCACCCTGCACCCCAACCCCCTGCCAAGCCCCCTCCCACAGTCCACACCCTACCTGCACCCCTGCCGAGTCCCTTTCTGCACCCCAACCCCCTTCCCTGAGCCCCCTCATACATCCTGCACCTCTCCTCTGCCCCAATCCCTTGCCCTGAGCTCCTTCCTGCACCCCACACCCCCTCCCGCACCCCAACCCCCTCGCCCCGGTCCTCCATACAATTTCCCCACCCAGATGTGGCCCTTGGCCTAAAAAGTTTGCCCACCCCAGTCCAATGGTTGTTTTGAAGAAAAAGCCAAGGGCAGTGATACTTTATTCTCTCTCTCTCTCTCTCTACACGCAAACACACACTTACATTTTGTAAAGTGGCAACAACAGTTAATTAAAGAGGTATCAGGAGATTAATTGTAACACTGTAGCCAATGAAGTTAGCTACACAACTGTCCGTTTTTGTAAAAAATGTGCATAATTTTGGACACATCTTACCTCAACACGAATATAAATGTTTAAAAATGATGGAGCTTTCTATACAATCAATAACACACATATGGTGTCCTTAAATATGTCAGGATCTAGACTGACTTTATACATTTATGGATTCACATTTCTACTGTTCTTCCCAAGATCTTCTACAGGCTTCTGCCACGGATACGGGGTATTCAAAATCAATAAAATTGGGTCAAATGTTGTGTACTTTTTCTGTGGTCTTTCAGCAATGGACCTACAACCAGCAGAAACTAGTGCTGACTTTTTTTTTCCCCCCTACTCTCCTCTCTCTCTCTCTGTGTGTGTTCTATTGGTTTAAGAAAAAGCACTGAACAGACACCTACCACATAAAGTGACTGAACCACTTATTTCTCAACAAGATATCATGCCATGTATAAGGGAATTTCAAGTAAGCATTTTACCCCTTTGTACATCTCTATGCAAAGAGAGGGAGAGGGAATAAGGGAATGTGTTGAAATCAAGACTATGTTTTTAACTTTTTCATTAAAATTTTTCTGCCTGATTCTTTGCTTTCTGAGTGTTTAATAAACAAAAAGAACAATTTATTGCTCTGTGATGTTCCACAAGCAAAACCAAGTCCCTGGCAACTCAAGTTAATGTTAATGATTAGGAAGTAAGGCAATTAACAAATAGGAGCAACTTAAAATTTGTTAAATCTGATCAAACCTATTGTACCTCTCACCCTGTCATGTCCTACACTGCCAAAATTATTCATAAATGAGTGGACATTCCTTAAAAAACTCATGGGTGAACCTTATGATAGTCCAACAGTTCTGCTCTGCTTCTCCACTGTTCATGCCTCTATGGACAACTGACGCTTCTGTAATAGGGCCAGGAGTGATTCCCTTCCTGGCAACCTTTATAGAATCTGCTTTATGGTGGAAAGATCAAAAGCAATTAAGGAAAACAATAGATGAGTGAGCTGGTATTTCTGCAAAGCAGAACAATATTTGACCCTAACAGAGGCAAAGACCTAGCCAAACCCAGTCCTACCAATTTTTAATGTACCCAGTTGAACTTGCACAAAGAATCTATTTCTCTCTACCAACCACTACACCAGCAGAGAGACTTTATTTTTCTCTAGCAGAGTCTAGCAGCGAGCATATGTTTAAACAGTCTGGTCTGAAGTATGGTCCTTTAATTCAATTCCAGATGAAATGTCTGCCTTACAGAATGGCGAGTTTTAATGAGTGTACACTGCTTGCATCCACTAAAAGAAAGAAACCCCTAATCAGTCTCTTTTGAAAACACCACCAGAGACCATGGATAACGTAAAGCATATACGCTTTTCAAAACATAACGTTTTGGAAATCTATCTTACTCTTGTTCTATTCTTCTGCAATAATTCAAAGTTGATGTTTTCATATTACTAGGGGTATTATTTATGCACGATCTGGGTGATCTGATTTACATATCAACCTTGAGATAAACACCCACGGTGTCCAGAAAAATGTGTTTTCCTTAGCTTTGCATTACCTAAAGAGGTACTCTAGTTTTGCAATGATCAAGATCAGAATGATAAACAGATCTGACTTCAAAGAAATAGTAAAATAAGAAAGAACAGTGCCAAAGTCCTAATTTGTTTTATAGTCCTTTTAGACTTTCATATATGGGAGGAATACCCTTAAAGGAAAAGGAATACATAAATAAATACAAGTGATTTACATTCTTTATAATTTGATGTCATTGCAACCTCTATTTTATTACACTGAAACAAACTTTTTTCCATGTCAAGAAAGTAGCATATTTTTAAAAAGCCATAAAGTACACCAAAATTAAAATATTTACAAGAGATTTTAAGTTGCAGAAAAACAACACACCGAATGCTGGGATGTTTACCAATGTGAGATTGACTTCCAATCAGTTGGTGGTTGGGACCCTGAATGTCTAGAGGCAAAACTAGTAAAATATTTCTTAAAAAGCTGAATTCTTAATTAATCTTATGCTTCATGAGCCAAAAATTAACATAACTGTTTAGTGAAAGTTATGTTTATTCAAATGTATACTAAGATCCACACAAATATCTCACAGTACAATTAGAGCCCTCATAATGGGTTAAATAAAGATTTCCATGGGCCACTTATACCAGGAAATGTTAGGACCTTTTCAGAAAAAATGACTGAATAAATTCAGTTTTCACTTGCCCCTCAGCCCCCACAACAATCACCAGGCCACTCTCCCATGCACAGATTTACCTACCAGAAGACAGGAAGTATTGAGGAGAATCTCCATAAATACCCACTGTACCTGGTCCCAAGGAGTCAGTCAGGATATTCACAAGAGAAAATACTCCACTCATGATCCCAAAACCCAGGCCAGACACTATACAAAGAACAGACACAAACACACAAAAGACTAATTACAAGTCTTTAGACAAATCCTCACATTACCTGCAGGTGGCAAAATTTTATAAGTGAAGTCATATTCATATTCATAGTCATATTCAAAGACAAAAGAATTCTAAAGAATCTCTCCATTTCATTCCTACATTATATTTTTATTGGAAACCAACTAATTCTTTGGTTGTGATGGAGGAGGAAAATAATACTTAGAACTTACAGAGGACTTTACATCTTCAAAGTGCTTTACGAACATCAATCAACACTCACAATTCTGCTGTGAAGTGAACAAATATAATTATCCCCATTGCCTCAAGATGGAAGTGGGAGAGGAGGTTAAGTGATTTTTCAAAGACCATAGAGCGAATCCATGTCAGAGCTAGAATCAGAACTCAGATATTATTGTCTCCTCTCAACTGATGGCAGTTTTATTAGAAGAGACAAGGACAAAATGGGCTTGGAAGCACCATCTTACCCCAAAAGATAAGTAGTATATTGGAAGATCAAGGTTGAGGTATGCTGGCTGGGTCATGTGGGCACTGACATTGCCTCTATTATATAACATCTCTTCCGTAGAGAGAGAACTTCATTTTTCAGAGCTGTTAACATGTTATCTTTCACAAGTGCTAAATCCACATGATTGTTTAAAAAAAAAGATAATATTTTTTCTGCAAACTATAGAGACTGAACTTTATTGAAATAAATATACAGAATTAACATAATGCTTCATGACAAAGTAGAATCATAGTTTTACTGCATCTCATATTTCAGCACAACCCTGGTCACCTTCACACAAATTAACTGAGCTCAAAAATAAAATAAAAGATTTTGAGAAACAGTGTAGCCTAGTAAATTAACCAGAGAACTGAAAACATGGAATTCCTGAATTCTAATCCTCATTCTCACAGTAATTGCCTGTAGGATCTTGGGCACGTTTTTTTTTTTTTATTTTTTTTATTAAAGTCCCATTTATGAAGTAGGGATGAAAATAATTACCTAGCTCCTGGAGTGTTTGTAAGAATTAATTAGTCAATGGTTGTAAAATGGCTCTGAATTTGAGAAAATAATTCTTAGCAACCTTACGTAAACTGAACATCTATAAAGTAAGTTTTTACATGCCTGTTGGAGTCTACAAGACTTTGTGAAACAAATAAAAATGGAGTAACAAATAAACACAGTCTGCATGCAAAAGTTAACATTTTCTGTGGCTATAACATTTTCTGTGGCTATAACATTTTACAAATGATTTTTTTCTAACATGACTTTTTAGAGTACATGTTAAATAGTTTTGACTGCATTTCAACTTACCATAGGACAATTGTCTGACGGAGATGGGTAGGGTTTCCTCCTGGCTTATAGTCATTAAGCCCTTATTAGCTTTTCTGAAATAAAGACAATATTTTTAAAAAGTAGTATTTTAATGTCCATACGTTCTATTTTTCAACTTTGCTACTTCAAACTAGTCAGATCTTATTTTTAAAATGTCTAAATGAAACAAGAAAGCCACTTAAATAATTATATGCAAAGGATGTGAGGAGGCTTTTCAAAGCAAAGGTCATCAGAATTTTTCAACATGGGCAAAGCAACTTATTTTCTCATAGTCTCATTCTCAGAAATGGCTGAAATATTTTGGCTGAAATTTCTTCTAAAAAAATTCACCCTGTGGTAGACATCCAGCATGGAAAATTTTGGACCATATGGATGAAGATAGGAAAAGTTATACACAACTGAAAACAGGATATTATAATAAGTATTGTTGGGCAGCCTTCATAATAGATGGTGTTACCAGCCCCTCCTATAATATTTTAGTTCTGGATAAACTTAAGCCAAACATTTCAGCCTGTTTAGCAGAATTCCTAATGGGGTTTTTTAGCTTTAACAGTTACTATATCTTGGTCCTGATCCTGAAAAGACTTACTCATATGCTTAAGTTAAATAACTTAAATGGGATTGCTCACAGTGCATAAAGCTAAACATACGCTTAATTCTTTGCAGGATCAGTACCCATGTCTGCACTCTTTTCGGGGGCTCAAATGTTAAAACCTTAAATTAATGCCAAGTACCTTAAGAACCTTTATCCAAGCAAAATTCAGTTTACTAGTGTAATAAGAATTTGGAAAGATTTGTTAGAACTTGTTACAGGGTTTACACCAATTATTTTGATGCCAAGAACAAAAATAAAGATTTTCGTCTGGTTTACCTACCCTCATTCACTGGTCTTTGAAATAAAATTGCCTAAGCAGATACCTTGATTATTTTGCAAATATTTTTAGCCAGCACCCTAAATATTGTGAAGCCACTTGTAAAAGAAGAATTTGATATCTGATTCTTTTGCAGAAATGGTAGCAGTGGAGAGTAACATTTGTGTCACATGAAATGATGCCACTTATATCATCATGAAATGCATTTCTTATTGAGGTCAGTGAGACAAGCTGTTGTTCTTGCAGTCAGTCATGTTCACTCAACTGCTGTTTCTACAGCATTCACAGGATGTAAATTATCATGATCTAAAATGCCACCATATGACACTATGAAGAAGTGAGGTTTTTACTCACGAAAGCTTATGCCCAAATAAATCTGTTAGTCTTTAAGGTGCCACCAGACTCCTTGTTGTTACCATATGACACTGTTACTCAGTTCCCCCAGTTTTCCAGCCTGTATTAATTTTGTATTCAGACTTAGATGGAATTTAAAGAAATAAAAACATTGTATTTTAAAACTTTTTCCTAGATGCTATATTTCTCAGATTTCATTTTGCTTAGGGATATAGGATCAAAGTTTTAATCTGAGTTTTTAATAACTAGATTACTGATATAGCAATGAGGAATCAGAAATTCTGGAAAACTCACAAGCAGGGGACTACAATCATTAATGAAAATGTCAACATATAAGGCTGAAACACTGGAGTTTGTTCTAATTAACAATCAAGATTTTTTTTTTTAATGGAGATCCTTGACAGATGAGACCCAAGTTATTTATTTTTAAATTCTTTCTATACCCAAGGATAGTCTTATTATAGGAGAGAAAACAGTGATACATTAATGCGTCTATTACGCCTGTTATTTTTATCTGAATGCATCATATAATACAACACTTTCAAATCTGATTTTCAAGTCACGTTTAGAAAGTTTTCTTTGTAACATAAGGACTTCATACTTCTTAATATATCCCCAATTATGCAGAAACTGGTGAGGCTGTTAAGAGGAGTGCTGGCATACTACAGGCTACCTATTCAGTATGATAAGAGTAAGGGTAATGTCTTCACTCCCAGCGCTGTAAAAAAAAAAACCCACCCCACCAGGGGAGTTGCTACCAGGTGCACGGTTTACACTGCCACTTTACAGCACTGAAACTTGCAGCGCTCAGGAGTGTGTTTTTTCACACCCCTGAGAAAGTCGCAGCACCATAAAGTGGCAGTGTAGGCAAGGCCTAAGAGACACAAGAAACATTGCATCCGAAGAAGTGAGGTTTTTACTCACGAAAGCTTATGCCCAAATAAATCTGTTAGTCTTTAAGGTGCCACCAGACTCTTTGTTGTTTTTGAAGAAACATTTAACTTACTTTAACAGTTTGTAATAGGCAAATCGGAAGACTTCCTGGAGCAGGACAGAGACCATCACTCCAAAGATGAGCAAATTTTTCTTTACTGATGCATTGTTGCTCCCACCAATCTGCACTGCAATGAACCATACAAGGGAAGAAAGCAGCAACGAGACCAGCCAGAAGAAACCTCTAGAGTTAAAAAAAAAAAAAAAAGAAAGAAGGAAGAAAGGGGAAGCAGGGGAGAGAGGAGACAACCCATCATGCATACTACCAGACTATTAAATTACCTAAATAAATAAATAAAAAAGATTCCATAGCTTGTGTTTAAAAATCTCTAATAAGGGACTCCTCAATGTAGCAAAGGCATTGACAAGGAAGACCTGGCTTGAAGTGGGTGACAAAGCAGACACATACTCTCCCACAAACCCCATTTACCATGCTAATACTGTAAACTATTTGAAAAACTAATTTTAAAAACAGCTTAGACTAACAGTTTTACCCCCAAAGTAGACAGAGTATACTGTGATTAAAATGGTTTCAGAAAACCATTTGAGAGCCTTGACTACACAAGGAAACTGAACTGTTGCAGGAAGTGGACTGACCATTCTCAACCATGCTGCCTGAGACAACAGTGAAAAGGTTTTGACTGGGCTACGTTATTTTCAATATGAGTTATGGGGGCACTGCTGCTAAAAACAATTTTTGCTGACATCTATATTTCTTACCATAGCCAAAGCATTTGGGAATGGCTGCTAAATGTGGTTTTAATCCTGTCTTTTGGGAGCAAATTCTTGTTAGCACAGGATTGTCATCATGGCTATGTGGTCTAAAGAGCACCCAGGAGTTTGCCCAACTTAGAATCACAACTGTCTGGACACTCACCCCCCCCCCCTTTCCCCAACCCTTATTCTCCAGTAATATCCCCTACTCCTGTTGTCTGGCTAATATAAACATGACTAGGGGCTATCACTGGAGAATGTGATCCTTTAATAAGGGTTGGTCCTCTAGTGCTGCCCACATCTGGAGTGGGGGTTGGGGTCCCCCACATGTGACACTAAATCCAACACCCTGAGTTGGGGGGCTCTTGCCCTAGTACTAGGCTGGTGTTCCCCACACACCTAACTTCTCCCTAACCGGGATGTGTGCGTCAGACCTTTGCCGGGGGCGGGTGGGTCCTGCTGTTTTACAGAGATGCTACCTCTCTCCGGCTTTAGGGGAACAGGAAGCTCATACACTCAGGTGGGATCTGAAGTCACAACCTCAAGTACACCTTGGTCTGGGGGCTTCTCCCGCCGGGAGGTGGGAAGAGAGGTTCGTGCCATTGGGTGGGGGTATCTCCCGTCGGGGGGGGGGGGAAGAGGGGCTGACACCCAGAGTGAGGGGCCTGGGGGTTACTCCGCCGAGGGGGGGAAGGGGGCTCCTCCCCACCTGCCCCTGCACAGACGCTGTATGACTGCCGAGCGGTCTCAGGAAGGTATCGCTCCCCGGCCCCGCCCCGCTCACCCAGCGATGAGGAAGAGGAGGCGCAGCGGCTCGGCGGCGATGGTGCAGACGCACAGGGCCAGTGCCGGCCCGAAGGCGATGAAGCTGCACCCAATGAACACGGCCGCGGTCATGGCGGAGGAACCTGGCCCAGACCCGGACACGCCCCCATCCAAAGCCCACCGCTGTCACCGCCCTCTGCTGGGCTGGAGCCCGAACCAGGGCCTCGGCCTCCCGCTGGCTCTGCGGGCGCCTGGTCACTGGCGGGGGTCTGGCTCCTCAGAGCAGGGCATTCTCCCCAGGCCCGCAGCCCTATTGGTGGGACCAGGGCTAGTAGCGGGAGGTGGGAGACATGCACGTGGGGCGGGCTCAGGGCGAGCCTGAGGACTTGACACAAGCTCTGGCTGTGTTACAGGAGTCAGGCTGAAGGAGGAGGGCAGGAGTAGCCCTTTCTGTTACAGTCCTCACCACCCGGGGCTTGAGGTGCTGTAAGTTTAGCACCCACCAGCTCCTGCAATAGTCCGTTGACACTGGGAGCTATCCCAACTCCCTTCCTAGCAAGCTGCTAGCTATAAAGCCTACAGGGCCAACTCACTAAGTCCTAAAGCCAGACAGGGTTTTTGCTTACTAGGTAAGATGATCACTAGGTGCTGGTGGATGACCCCCAACAGGGACAAAATTTCTCTCCTCTTACAGTCTTCCTCTAGCCTCCTCCTGAAATTATGCTTTCCAAATCATAGTACTCCTTGGGTAAACATTTAAGCACAATGAACAAGAACACATCTTTGGCTTTACAGAAGAGATAAATAGTCTCACGGGGCGCTAGGGGCCCTCACAGTGCAGGACTTTACAGTACATACAATACATTGCATAGCCTGTAGCATGTTTCTTAGGGCCGGCATTACATATCCACTTAGACATAGGCATTCTCTACCTCCCTACAGCTTCTATCAGTGGTTCTCAAACTTTTGTAGACGTGATTCCTTTCAGATAGCAAGCCTCTGAGTGTGACCCCCGCCCCCCAAAAAATTAAAACACTTTTTAAATATATTTAACACCATTATAAATGCTGGAGACAAAGCATTCTTCAGCGTGGAGGTTGACAGCTCACCCCCTTCCCCATGTAATAACCTCATAACCCCCTGAGGGGTCCTAAACCCCAATGGGAGAACCCCTGTTCTGTGTACTGTAACCCTAATTACAGTACATTAAATGATCTATGCTAGAAGTGACCACAGAGCACAAAAACATAAGAGGAATCATTACAAAGTGTGTGTCACCACTAAAAAAGCACTTATAGCCACACTATCTCCCTGCAACTCCAAGAGCTGTCAAGGATCCTGAAGTACTCAGACTTTAAACAAGGGGAGGGATAACTCAGCAGTTTGAGCATTGGCTTGCCAAACCCAGGGTTGTGAGTTCAATCCTTGAGAGGGATCTGGGGTAAAATCAGTACTTGGTCCTGCTAGTGAAGGCAAAGGGCTGCACTCAATGACCTTTGGTCCCTTCCAGGTCTAGGAGATAGGATGTCTCCATTTATTTATTTAAGCCATACAACATATACCCCGCCCCCCTGCCCCCCCCCAAAATGAGGGGAAGAGATACTTTTCTTTCTAATTAAGGGAAAGTTTTTTTCACAAACACCACCTTTCTACTCAATCTTCAGCCAAAAAAGTTTCAGTTGGGTCCCGTTCATGAACTGAAGTTCTCCAGCCACAGGCCCCATAGGGCCAAGTTCGAGTTGAATCTATTTTTCTTGTCAACTAAGTTGTTTTAGTGCCATTCCTCCCACTGAAAAGGCGTACAGTAGGATACCTAAAAGGCACAATATTCAACCTTTTTTAAAGATTGAAGGAGACTTAAGTAAGGAGCAAGATTGTCTTCAGTGACTCAGATTAGAGATCTACAGCATGAAGACTTTAAAATATGTTAAGATGGTTTGGAGTGAAGTAGGTGGAAGAAGAGACTACTTGAAATTTCACACTTTGCTATGTGTTCACTTAAATTAGAACTATGGCTTCTTTGTTGTTGATTAAGACTTTAGAACAACAATCCCTGACAAATCACTAGTAGCTATATGATGAATGTTATAATTCTTGACATCTGATTTATGTCCATTTATTTTTTTGCATAGAGACATTCAAAAACCAGTCGGAGAACACTTTGACCTCCCTAGTCACTCGCTTACAGACCTCAAAGTCGCAATACTCCAACAAAAAAAACTTCAAAAACAGACTCCAACCAGAAACTGCAGAATTGGAATTAATTTGCAAACTGGACACCATTAAATTAGGCTTGAATAAAGACTGGGAGTGGATGGGTCATTATACAAAGTAAAACCTATTTCCCCATGCTAATTTCTCTCCCATCCCCCCGTTACTCATACCTTCTTGTCAACTGTTGGAAATGGGCCAGCTTGGTCATCACTACAAAAAAAAATTTTCCCCCTCCTGCTGATAATAGCCCACCTTAACTGCTTACTCTCGTTATAGTTAGTATGGCAACACCCATTTTTTCATGTCCTCTCTCTCTATATATTTTCCTACTGTATTTTCCACTGCATGCATCCGATGAAGTGGGTTTTAGCCCATGAAAGCTTATGCTCAAATAAATGTGTTAGTCTCTAAAGTGCCACAAGTACTCCTGTTCTTTTTCTGACACATACTAACACACTACCACTCTGAAATACAGAGAGAAAACTTTAAGTGACCAGAGTAGTTGATTACATCCCACTAAAAGCCTTATGCTAAACAAATCTATGAAACTAGTTTCATAAAGAGCCAGCTAGACAAGAACGATACATTTTAATGCAACTGGGAATCACTAAGTTTTAACATAAGCATATTATGGTAATTCTACATTTATTATGCTTGGAGGAGTTCCTGTATGTGTACAGTCATCTCTGGCAATTTAACACTGATGTGTCCTTCACTGAGAATATGCCAAATGTTTTTTTAGACAGGAAATTAATATGTAGTGTATCATAACAGAAGGTTGAAAAGTAAACTCTACATATAGTAAAAAGCGGTAACTTTTAGTGGTTGCAATTCCATGTTCCTTCACTAACCAAACACCTGGCTAGTAGATAAACAACTTTATTCAAACTGGTCTTGTAAAAGAGCTCCATTTATTTTTGTAGTGTCTTGATGATAGTTATTCATTATGGTATAAATAGTGTTTAGAAATTGAATGTCAACACTGTGTACAAGATCCCTACGAAGTATTTTAGAGTTTTTAAACCACAGTAGGAAAATAAATAAGGGGGGGGGGGGGAGAGGGAAGAGGGCCTTACAAAAAGTTAATCCAATTATAAAAACTGGAGAGTTTTCACATAAGAAGTTACCTTGTGCAGTAATGATGTTTCTTCGAGATGTGTCCCCCTATGAGTGCTCCACTGTTGGTGTGTCTGTGTCCCTGCGCTGCTGATTGGAGAAATTTGGTCAGTCTATACTGACCATTAATGAACACACTGCTCCTGCCTGTCATGAGGCTAGCCAGAACCCACAGGAAATCCCTCCTCAGTTCCTTCTCTACTGCAGAGTCAACTACTAGAATTCCAAAGTAGAGGGGTCCTGGAGCACCCATAGGGACACATCTCGAAGAACCATTGTCACTGCACAAGGTGAGTAACTTCTTTTTCTTCAAATAGTGTCCCTATGGGTGCATCCCTGTAAATCAGTGGTTCCCAAACTGGGGTTCGTGAACCCCTGGGGGTTCGCAAAATGTTACAGGGGGTTCTCAGGGGAAAAATTCCCTAACTGTGGACAGAGCTGGCCCTAGGGATCCCGGGCAGCACGGGGCGAGCAGCACGGAGCTCCTGGACTTCCAAGAGCTAAGCAGATCAAAGCAAGCATATCTCTCAAACTTCAAGATTCCTTACAAGAAACAGAAAGGGAGGTGGATATTTTTTGCTGTTTTTAAAATTAAATAGGTAGCTAGTCTTGTTTTTAAAATTATTATGAAGAACAAGTTTAAGCTTTGTTGTAATGTGCATTGTTTGCCTGGACTGCTCAAGACCTTAATGCTTGTGTAGGAAAAATTCTTTGAGTTGCCTTCTTAAATACCTTCATGCGCTTTCACATCTGATACTCCTTGATGAAACATAGGAGCCTTGTCTTATAACAGGCTTGTTCAAAGTGATACAAGCTATGAAAGTGAGATCTCGGAAGAGTGTTGCCATTTTCATAATGTAATAAAAATACTGTAATGATAAATAATAATTAATAATACTGTGTAATAAGCAAGTTATACAAACAAATTTTATATTTCCAAGATCACTGCTTTTATAATTTATACTCAGGTAAAGGAGAAAATCCCTGGAAATATTCATTTTGAGGAGGGGGTTCGCGAGACTTGACATTTTAATGAAAGGGGTTCACAGGTTGTTGAAATTTGGGAACCACTGCTGTAGATGACTCCTGAGCAGTCCCCACCACGGGAGGCTGGGGCTTCAGAGTCAAGTCTGTTATAGATGAAAGCACTAACTCCAAATCTGGCATCTGCAGCCAAGTTCCTGAGGCAGATGACCAGATAGAAATCTGCAGATTTCTGATATAGGGATATCCTTGGAGAAGGCGATGTAAAGGAGACCAATCTCGTAGAGTGCATACATATTGAAGACAGGGGTGCTACATTATGCATCTGGTAACAGAGCTTGATACAGTTTGAGACCCATTTGGAGAACCTTTGAGCTGAAATCGCTATACCTTTTGATCTATCTGCAATGGAGAGAGAGAGAGAGAGAGAGAGAGAGAGAGAGTAGTT